CGAGTGAAATCTTGAAAGCTCGCGAGATTAGGATGGTCTCACGAGGCTAAGCCCCACCCACCAAAATATTTTTTGCCTGCAAGTGGTCTAGCCTCGATCAACGGCGGGCCAATCACAACGCAGAGATGTGTTTTGAATTTCTGGATGCAAAGCGGGCGGGGTTTTGAGGGCGGACCTACAAAGCTGCGTCGCTGGAGAAAGCACAACAAGGAAGATGGCAATAACTACTGAAAAGTTCTCGTTTGACTCAGCTTTTGAAGGATTAGACTTGGGGTTTTCGTTGAAACGTGATCAGGAAGAGGCTCTACGTTCATTCATTTTTAAGAGGGACGTATTCGCCGTTTTACCAACAGGCTGTTTGTTTACACTCCCCAACCAGCTTTCTGTCGCGCTTACTACGTCACAGTCAGTTGCGCTCTTTTTGTCAGGGCATTGGCCAATAGTCAGACATGGTTTGAAAACTTACGGGTTATTCTCAACAATCTTCCGATGTCTCATTCATTGGGGCTAGACTAGATTAAACATTTAATCTCGGATTTAGACTGGTTTAACAGGCTAGCAAAAATGGTACAGTGTATGTTTTAGAAAACAATCCAATTCTGACCCCTTCTGTCAAATAAAAGAAGACTGCAGCTTTTAAACTGTTTTATAGTGATGAATAGGTGGGGCTCTTCTAATGAAGAAATTCAAGTGTGAAATTTGACCTCTTTGCTCGCTGAACCATAAAACACATGTAGATAAAAGCTGGAATATAAACCTTTGATACTCAGTCAGGTGTTTAAATAATAAAAATAATTGATTTAGATCATGTCAGTAATAATTTTTCCTATGCTATAAAGCCATAACTGTAGGAAACTTGCTGTTGTAGAGTTTCACAAATAACTTCAGATTATTACTGAACTTTAAACATGTTTGCAAACTTTAAGGTTTTTCAAAAAGAGTCATAAACACAGGCTTTTACCAAAAGTTAGACCCTAGAATGTATAAATACCATCCCATCCATCACAAAGTGCTGTATAATAAAAATATTCTTTTAAGGTTTTAAAAAAAATGTTGGCTATTTTTGACCATCCTGGGTTGTTTTGTTTTTAGAGATATAATCTTATACGTCATTTGGATGTTTTTCATATTTTTGGGGCGCCTGCTTTTAGGACAATGAATGAGCTCACATGTAAAGAACTTGTCTTACGCACATGCAAATCTTAAAATATGTATTTCCTCTTGGGATTGGCAGCAGCGTAGATGGAAATGAGGCTTGATTTGAAGGGAGCCACAAAGACCCAGACTGCTCCACTTAAAAAGCTTTACTTTTTCTGTCTTACGAAAAAAAAAGGTATTAAAAGGTTTTATAATCATCCTTTATGGAATCCCAGTAATTTCACGCTTAAAATAGATTGATAATGTACAAAAGTAAAGTAAACAAATAGAGCTATATCCACAGCATGAGTTTAAAAGGGCCTTTACTAAAAAACAAAAAAGCAAAGATGAAATATTAAAATCTATCAACCATCCGAAAGCAAAGCAGAAACGGTAACAAGCAGTGAACAAAGAGAGTTTATAGGCTTAACAGGTTGATGTAAGACGGAGTCAAATGATGTCGTCTGATGTACCACAAGGATTTTAATCAAAAATCATTTTAAAGTCATCCAGTAATAAATTGCTATAAGTTGGTTCAAACTGATGGATACAGTTTTACACTGATTAACAAGATTCCACAGAACTAGATTTCATCAAAAATCAGTTATATTATTATTATTGTGGCACTGCACAGGCCAGCGCTGCAATAGAGGCGTCAAGCAGAATGAAGCAGCACATGATTTATTTAGTGATGATGGATCCAACCTTCTCACATTACGTAGGTGAGGTTTTGAGAAGAGCAGCCCACATGAAGCATATACATGCACCAAGTTCTGCTTATTGACCAGAAAAAGTACAAAAAGGTTTAAAAAAAAAAAAAAAAAACAATCCACTGGACTTTGTTTCCAAGTTTGAAGATGTTTCGCTTCCCATCCAGGAAGAATTTTCAATTCAAAATGTCAGAAATAGCGTTGAGTTAAGAGGCTTTATAGAGTGGTCCAAAAACAAAGCCTTGTTTTAGCTTAGAAATGAACGGGTGTGCCCCTTAGAAAAATTAGGGTCTTTTGGTTCTTTGTTAGCCTGCAATACCCCATACCTGTCTATGTCTCTAAAAAGAGGGGTCATTAAAGACCTAAAAAAATAATTAAATACAACTTAAAGTATTACTTGGCTCAAAAGTTAGAGAGTGGTATGAATGGTACCTTTAACACCTCTTCTTTCCATTTCGACTGCTTGCTACTTTAGCATGTCGTCCATCTGTTAATGCCATGTGATTCTGACCCATCTCTATAGTTATGCTGCTATAGTCTTAGACTTCTGGAGGACATAGGGACCCCTTTTTCATCATTCTATCTCTATTCTCCCACTCTGCAGAATCTGTTAGTTCAATCTCTAACGTTCTGCTCTCTCTGCTTTTCCTCATAGTAGCTTCATCTGCTCGCACACTCTGCCTCGCTTTCAGCAGCTGAAAAAAAAAAAACAATGAATCAGCGCACTGCGTATG